GCCGGGCGGGCGGGCCCCGGGCGCCGCGGCGCCAGGAGGGAACCTCCTCTCGCTCACCTCAGGCGACGACTACGAAACCGACTTCTCCGCACCGAGAACGCCTGTCCGCGAGTCACAAGCTCGGAGACTAAGGCGAGCGGCTGATGAGGCGGCGGCGGACTAACCAGAGACCCGACGGAAGGCAGCAGACGGGGAGCGCTAGAGTGAGGGCGGGCAGCGGCGGGAGGGCGGGGAACGACGTGCGCGCCCCCGCGTGCCCAGCGGGCTCGAGCCGGCCTCAGTCGCGGCCCCGCGCACGCGCGCGCACTCAGCACAGCCAGGATTGCTCAGGAGCGCGTCCACGCCCTAAAAGCAACGCGCTTAACCAATCATTACAGCCGCGTGGGGCATCACGGGAATCCGAGGGCTATAAAAGACCCGGTTGCTATTTTATGCTCCTCGAGTTACTCATCCTTTAAGTCAGTGGGGTGGGGTTAGGTGCGCGTGCGCGGTTTTAATTCTCCTCCCCAAACTGCCAACACTTCGCGCACGCGAGGTAGGTTCCCCTTCCCTGGGTTTACGCGTGCGCACTAACGGGCCTGGCCCGGAAGACCAAACGCCTGCGCAGAGAGTACTAGGGTGACAGACCCCCGGGTGGGGCGCAGGCCAGTCATGGCGGAGCCTTGGTCCGGGCAGTCCTTGCAGACTCTGCCGGCCACGGTGCTGGGCGCGCTGGGCGCCCTGGGCAGTGAGTTCCTGCGGGAGTGGGAGGCGCAAGACATGCGCGTGACCCTCTTCAAGCTGCTGCTGCTGTGGTTGGTATTAAGTCTCCTGGGCATCCAGCTGGCGTGGGGGTTCTACGGGAGCACGGTGACCGGGCTGTATCACCGCCCAGGTGAGGCTCCCTAACAACCTCCGTGGGCTGGCCGTCCCCAGCCCTGCCGGACTGTACCATTGGGCTCCCCAGAACCCCCGTAGACTACCACTGGACCCTAAGAACCTCATCACAACTTAATGCTGTACCCATGCCAGCATACCATTTCACGCTAGAAACCCCACCAGTCCACCCATCACATTATAACTGTTCCTTTGAACCCCCATCAGACAATACCACTAGTCCCTTAGGGCCCCCTCACCAGACTCCACCAGACAGTACCACTGGCCTCTAACCTGACCTGGGCTGATGCCTGCTCAGATCCCCACCCCCAGCCTGGTGCAGCTCTGGATGTGTTCCTGCCCCCAGGTCTGGGCAGCCAAAACGGATCCACATCTGATGGCTCCACGCATTTCTCTTCGTGGTGAGTAAATCTGTGCCCATCTCAACCCCATGCTTGGCAGGCAGAGGACACTCCTGTGCTGGGAAAGGGGCCGGGGATGGGGGCGGGGAGTTCTCAGGGTAGGAGTCCACCAGCTTAGTGGCCTTTGCAGCAAGCTGCAAGGTCTCCAAGTAGAAATCAGGCTTACAGTGACACCGATGTCTGAACAGCCCATCAGTATGCTGATCAGCAACCTGTGGGGTGGGTGGTGTTATTGTCACAATTTTAAATGCAAATTCTTTTTTTTTTTTTTAAAGATTTTTTATTTATTTATTTTTCCCCCAAAGCCCCAGCAGATAGTTGTCTGTCATAGCTGCACATCCTTCTAGTTGCCGTATGTGGGACGCGGCCCCAGCATGGCCAGAGGAGCGGTGCGTCAGTGCGCACCCGGGATCCGAACCCGGGCCGCCGGCAGCACAGTGCGCGCACTTAACCGCCAAGCCACGGGGCCGGCCCAATTGTCACAATTTTAGAAATGAAATAGCAAGTCTGTTGGATTCCACTCCACTGCAAGCACCTCAGTTGGAAAGGCAGGAGCCTCTGTCCTTAGTGCACTGACTAGCCTCATCAGGGTCAGCCTCCTCATCTGTAAAACATGAACTCACTAATCAGGACATTCATTCAGCTAATCTCTGAGCTCCTACCACATGGCAGGGGCCACACTAGGCCTAGAGAACAAGGACAACCCAGGCCCTGCTAACAGGGAGAGCCAGAGATTTAAAAGGGGAAGGCAGCAGTGCAGAGGCAAGGGCAGTCAGCGGTTTCTCCCAAGACAGACACCTAAGCTGTGGGCAAAGGCTAGGGGGTGGTAAAGTGTACCAGGCAAAAAGAATGGATAGAACAAGGCCCAGAGGCAAGAACAAGGGTGACATATTGGAAGAATAGACAAGACCGTGATGCTGAAGTTCAAACATCAAGGCATGGAGGGATCTGCAAAGCCCTATCCCAGGTCTCAGCTATTGAACGACTTAGCAAGGCCATGGCCTGATCTAATTTGCCTTTATAACTGCCTGCTTCATGGCAAGTAGATAAAAGGGTCCAATAGAGAGAGCAAGAGGCTAGTTAGGAGGTCTCCTACTGCCCATGTTTCTGTCTTGGGCAACTGGGGAAGGATGTGAGCACCATCATAAGGTGGGAAACCAGGAGGAAGAATGGGTCTGTAAGGGAAAGGTGGTGGGCCCAGTGTGGGCTGTGGGAGCTCAGCAGAGGTCTAGATTGTAGTGTGGCCTTACTGAGCCCAGCTCAGCCCTCAAAGAGGGGCTAGAGAGAACCAGTCTCAGGGACTTGTGCTGCCCCTGGAATAACCCCTCTCTTCTCTCCATTTTTAGGGAAACAGCAACAAATGAACCTCTCAAAACCCACAGAGAATAAAAGAAGGCAGCAGAGGGGCCTCCAGAGACATCACCGGGTCTGCTGGCTCCCACACTGGGTTCTGTTGCTGCTCAGACCCCAGGGACGACTGCAGGGGAGTTGGGGCTGGGGGCAGGGAGTACCCCAGTGCTTGCAGGGCTGGGCCTCCACTGCCCTTGGCCTTGCCTCCAGCAGCTCCAGGCATTGGGCCAGTTAAGAATTTGTCTCTACCCTGATCTGGGTGCCTTAAGGAGAGAAGGCGTGTTCCTCCTCTCTCAGGGGTCGGCTCAGGAGAAGCTTCTCAGTTGGGGAGGCCAACAGTCCATTTTCTGTCTTGGCTTTTTCCTGTCCTTCTTTCCATCCCCCTAGGATATCACCCCATAGAGATTTGTCCCTCTGAGAGGAAGCCTGAGGTTGACCAGCTCTGGAATTTGTAAGGGAGGTCTGTTTTCTCCTAAGCCCTGAGTTTCCTGAATTTCTTTGGTTTTGGTTTGTTGGTAGGGAGCCAGGGAATCCTGGCCTGGACACAGCCTTATACTCTATGGTTACCTAGCTGACCATTCAAGTATAAGGCAGGGGGTAGTTGGCACCATCCAGACATGAAGGCACCAAACACCCACCTCCCTGGCCCATCCAGAGCTCTCCAGGTATGACCCAGGAATTCTTCTTAGAGGGAAGCTGGGTGCCTGAAAGAGGCTGAGCCCTGGGGGGGACCTACCACCCCCAAGTGCCCATGGGGTTGTGGGTCTGTACCCTGCACCCTCACAGGGAGTTACTAAGCAGTTAGTGCAGTGGCGCCACCATGCCCTGTAGCCTCATCATTTCCCATCTTGACCTGGAACCACAGGAGCTTCATCCTAAGAGCCCATAGGTTCAGCTCCTCCCCACCAGCACCATTTCAGCCCCCAGGAAACTCAACAGAGAGGAGCCACAGGCTAGGCAGGCCTGCCACTTCCACAGCAGGCCAGGGAGCTTCCAAAAGTGTGGGTGGCAAATGCAAGTTCCTGAAAGCAGTGTGGCCCTACCTCCTTTCCTGATGGCTGTACTTCTGCCTGCTTCTGCTGGGCCACCAGCTACCTCAGTGTCCCACTGCCTGCTTCCTCTCTGTTAGATGTCACATTTCCATCTGGCAGCCTTTGTCTAGGTCATCTTTGCAGCAGAGGTACACTGGAAGTAGAACTGCATTGAGCTCATGCACGTGTACCTACTCTGGAGATACCTTCTGGCTGATAGGATGATGGTTTCACAGCCCCAGGCCTACCCACTGAGACCACCACACACAGAATCAGGGTCTCACATTTCACCCCAGGCTCAACTGAGGATGTGGCTTATTAAACATGGAAGTGCATCAGTTGTGTGATTATTCAGACAAGACAAGGGTGTGTATACACAGGGAAGACTGGGGAAGGAACACCCCAGAGGGTGTTATCCCTCAGCACCCAGAATGCAATGACTTGCAGAGGTGGAGGGGTGATGCCAGCTCCCTGGAGGAGCGGTGGTGGGTGCCTAACAGGGGCGCTATCCCTGTTCTTATAGACCTGCCCCCCTCAAGGGGAACCCACTCTGAGCATATCTCAGAAGCCAGGAAGGCAGGCATTGGGCTGGCACCCTAGTAACTCTGTGGACAAAGGACAATGAAGGTAGAGACTCTGACAAGCAAGAAGGATGGAAGCTCGTTTAATGTTTTTTAGAAGTCAGTGGAGTCCAGTAATGGGCCCCAGGGACGAAGGTCAGCCCAGGGTAAGGCAAGTCCAGGAGGAGGCCCAGCCTGCCTCACAATAGCCCTGGGGCTCAGAACAGGTGGTGAGCCCAGCATGATATGCTACTGGGCAGCAGGCTGGGCTACCTCGGGAATGTGGAAGAGTGAGTCCATGCTCCCTCAGCCATCCCTGCATTTACACGGGGCACAGCAACACTACTGGGCCAACCCTCTGTGAGTCAGGAATCATTCCTGCCCAGGGAGAGGCAGCAGTTTGTATTTAAGGAAAGTAAACTGGAGAAGGTGGCCGGCACTGCCCAAGGTAATAACCCTTTGCAGTGTGAGAAACTGGTAAGTTGGGTAGGCTTTATCCTCCCCTTAAAGGTGAGCCTTTACTCCACAGCCAGCACCTGGCAGAGTAGAAGGGAGAGATGTCAGAACTGATGCTTCTCATAGCCCTCCAGCAGGCAAGAGTGGGGTCAGTGGTAGTGTGGGCTGAAATAGGACATGGGGTGAGCTGGTATGTCGCTCAGAAATGGGGTCTTGAAGTTGGAGTGGCACAGGATGAGAGAGGAATAGGTAGGTGGTGTGGCCCCCTCAACCAGACAACCAGAAGCAGCCTCCACCCTAGCCAACTACCCCCACGGGTGTTCTGCCTCAGCTTCCTGGCTAACCCCTTGTAGAATGCCTTCCAGAGCAAAGCTCCTGGAAGGGAGGGCCCTGCCCCAAGCCATCCTCACTTGAGGGTGTAGTAGTTTGTGGGCACAAAGGGCATCTTGCTGACCACAGCCATCTGCTGCTTCCGCCGCACCTCTACCAGCAACGGGGTACCTGGCCGACTATACTCACAGGGCACATAACCCATCGCCACATTCTTCTTCAGGCAGGGTGAGGGGCAGCCACTGGTCACAGTACCTGTCCGGGCAGAGGCCATGCATCAGCACCACCCTGCCAGTTCAGTGCCCACACCCTCCTGGGGAAGGGACAAGGGCTTTCCAACTTCCCTGGTCCACGTACCAATCACGGTGCCCTCTGTACTCAGGATGGGGCTGTGTGCTCGCATAGGAGCCCCCTCACACAATAAACCCACACGCTTCCGCTGCACCTCGCCCTTCAACTGGGGAACAATGACTGCGGCTCCAGGGAAGTCCATGGCAGCTCGGCGACGCTTTCCTGGAGCATGACACACCAGACTTAAGCCACAGTTCAAGGACCCCAAGTGACATCCATCTAGCATTGAGGCCCCTTTGCTTAGGGTCCCCCAGGCCCCATTCCTCCTTTGCAATGCAGTCAGTCAGCCACCCACCTCCTGCCCCCTGGTCTTGGAGCCCATGCTGCCCACCTCAGCCTGCTGAGGGTCCTCAGCATTTAATGGGCAAAGCCATAGTGATACCTTCAGGGAATGGAGGCTCAAAGAGGCTAAGTCACTTGCTTTAGGCTACATAACCTTGGGAGCAGTCACAGGCTAGGTGATCTCATTAAGGGCCACTCCAGCCTTCTGGATCCCATCCCTGAGTGCTTGCCCAACTCACCCAATGTCCAACTGAGGCTCCCTTCCACAGGTGTAGTGTGTTCATCGATGTCATTCCCATATAGGCAGAGGCCTGCCTCCAGGCGCAGACTGTCCCGGGCTGCCAGCCCTGCCAGCTTCACCTCCGGGTTGTCCAGCAGAGCTGTTGCCAGGCAGACTGCCCCCGCTGCTGGCACCGAGATCTGCATGGGACATCAGAGAGCAGGTGGGCAGCTGGCCTCAAGAGTCCTGTGCCCTACACCACCCTGTGCCCACTTCTTGACATACCTCCACACCATCCTCTCCTGTGTAGCCACAGCGGGTCACGCGGCAGCCAGACACGCCAAACACTTCCATCACAGCACTGGTCATGAAGGGCAGTTTCCTCAGGTCCTCTGCCACGCCGGCCTGTAGCACCTGGGCTGCAGTGGGGCCTGGGCCCAGGGAGCCAATGACCAACTGTCCAGGTCCCAGTGCCCCTTAAAGCTGGTCCACAGCCCATGGGCCGGCCCGGAGGTGCAAGTGGTTAAGTGCGCACGCTCCGCTACGGCGGCCCGGGGTTCGCCGGTTCAGATCCCGGGCACGCACCGACGCACCACTTGGCAAGCCATGCTGTGGCAGCATCCCATATAAAGTGAAGGAAGATGGGCATGGATGTTAGCCCAGGGCCAGTCTTCCTCAGCAAAAAAAGAGGAGGATTGGCAGATGTTAGCACAGGGCTGATCTCCTCACAAAAAAAAAAAAAAAAAAAAAATTGGTCCACAGCCCATACTCAGGGACCAGAACAAGCCCTGAGCAAGACCTACTCTGCAGGTGGGAGAAGATGCTCTTGCCCACAGCCCATGGACCCTTGTGGCAGGTAGAGGGAAGGTATGACCGAACCTCGAATTATGGCACACAAATATCACACCATCCACACCTTCCTTCTGGTACGGCCTCTGTGCTAAGCAGTAGAGGAAGCCAGGAAGGCAAAGGTCAGCTCCAACTCCAGCTTAGCCCACTCACCTTGCAGGGCTAGCAGGGCATTATCCACCACCTCCAGAGCCACATCACTGCCCATGTTCTGAAGCTCCCTGACCTTGTCCTGAAAAGAAAGAAACCACATTAGCTTCTGGGACCACTTACTGAACACCTATCATGGGCAGGGTGCTGCAGAGCTGGGCAGAGTAGGCTGGTTCCCATCTTACAAGGTCACATAACTACTAAGTGGTAGGGATGACCCAAGCCCAGGTCTGTCAGCTCTAACACCAGGCTCCACCCTCACCAGAGGATGCTCACTTAGGGGTCAGCTTCACCTCCCCACCTCTTCCAACACTGAAACCTGGCATGCTCCAGGGAGGGCCCACTCCAGCCTGCTAGTCATTCACTCAAAGAGCCATTGTCTAAGTTCCTTGTCCATGCCAGCTCTGTCCTAGACAACTAGGATGCTGCTCTATGAACAAGGAAGACAAGGTACGTAGAACATAGAGGGGCTGTACCTGCATGAGGGCCAAGTCCTTGTCCCAGCAGCCAGCATTGGACACCACATAGAGGTGCCCCTCAGAGGTGTTGGTGACAATCAAGTCATCTAAGATGCCTCCAGCCTCATTGGTAAACAGCGACAGTGTCCCCTAGCACCAAAGTAGAGCATCTTTGCCTCCAGGTCCAGGAGGCCAAGGTCAAATGTGAGTCAGACACACCCCTGGGCCCACTCAGCCACCACAAACTCATGATCCCTCATGCACTGAGGGGGATGCAATGTGCAAGACTGGGTCAGCCCAGGCCCCTGCCCAAGCCCAGGGTTTTTGATCCTCATGCACTGAAAAAGTTTTCACCCCTTCCCTGCCTTGGAGGACCTCCCTGATCTGGTGGGGCCTCTGCACTCCACCCCACTCAGTACTCAGAGCCCTATGTCACAATTAATCCATGATACCTAGGACTTCCTGCTTCATCCCACCCAGACCTGGGACAACTCAGCCCATGGCCCAAACCCCAGGACAGAAGTTTCAAAGTCCATCTTGATGATCCCAGGTGCTCCACAGCAATGCCCCAAAATACTGTGAGGCTGGCCTCGGCCTCCCCACTGGATGGATGAAGAGCCTGAGGTTGAAGGTCATATGAATCACCTGGGGATCTTACTAAAATGCAGGCTCTGATTCAGCAGGTCTGGAGCAGGGCCTGAGAGTGTATTCCTAACAAGCTCCTAGGTGATGATGAGGCTGCTGATTTAGGGACTACACTTTGAATTGTGAGGGTTTAGGTCACAGAATAGGACATGAACCTGGGTTTCTGGCCTCCCAGTCTGATGTGGTGAGGATGGAATAGGCCCCTCCCTACAGATGGCTGGGTGTCTGGACATGACTTAGGAACTCCATCCTCCAAGACTGCAAGCCCTGAGAAGCTGTGTCTGATCCATTTCTGTGCCCCCAAGCCTGAAATAGGGACTCAGCCCATTTGCTGGCTCATGACTAAGAACACCCATTGAGCAGAAGTAAGAAAAGAGGGACCCACCTGGTTTGGCCTTAGCTCTGCAATATCTCCAACCACTAGACTCTCCATCAGCCTCACCCGGTCACAACCAAATATCTTGGTCTGGGAAAGAGATCAAAAGCCTCAGGCTACTTCAAAAGCTATAACCTGGAAGGCCACTGGGCAAGGAGGCACCCTCCCTGCCATCCACAGCACAGTTCAACCCAGCTGAAATGCCTGACTAGTCTTTTGGTTCTGCAGGTGGCAGCGGCTCCACTTTCTGATTCTCTCACATCCACCAGTACAGGAGGGGGTGCAATGGGGGAGGTTAGGAAACTTGAAAGGACCCACCACCTTCCTGAAATACTCCCCTTTTCCAAACCAATTCCCAGGTCAGTGGATGAGAATGGGCACCCTGGAAATCCCAGGACATTAAGGCACACCACTAAGTGGGAGCTGGAGAGATTAGACAGATAATCAGGAAACCCATTGAGTTAACTTTCTAGAGGCCATAGTCTATGACACCCCTGAACCTCCAACTCATCTGAGGGCTGCCCTTGGAATCTAGCTCCCAGCAAACAAAGCCAAGGGTTGCACCACTGTGGACTGGGAGGAAACCTTGGTCTGGCGGCCGGCGCGCTCCCCTGGCTCACCTGCAGCATGTGGGACACGTCAAAGAGTGAGCAGTGCCGGCGCGTGTGCAAGTGTGAGTCAACGTGGCTGTCCCGGTACTGCACAGGCAGACTCCAGCCCGCGAATGCCACCATCTTCCCGCCATTGGCCAGGTGGAAGTCATAGAGTGGTGTCCTGCGGAGCACATCCTGCAGGCGGCTGGGTTCAGTGCTACCAGGGCCCCATCCCCCATCCCCTATCCCCCTCCCTCCCCCAGCCTCCAAGATTGGCACCACACCCCAGCACCCTCTATCCTACCTGTGTGCAACTGAGCGGACGGCCCAGGGCGGAGGGGAGCGCCTGCAGACACAAGCCCAGACGGGCCACCATGTTCACTGCCCGCTGCATTGCTGCCCACAACTCGTGCAGCCGGCACACAGAGGCCACCACTCTGCCAGGCACGCTGGGAGATGTAGTCCGGGCACTGCTTGGACAGGTCTCTCTCCCACAAGGGGGATCAGGAGAGGGGGCGGGCAGCCCGGGCTTGAGAGCACAAGGTGCAGTAACTTCAAACTGCAGGGAAACAGCTCCGGGCGCTTCCAGCTAATCAGGGCAGATTGGGCTGTTTGAGCCAGTTAAGCTGCTCAGAATCAGAGCTGGGGGCTAGACCGTCCCCTGCAAACTGCCCGGCCTCCAAAGGGTCAAAGTTCTGCAAGGGGTGAAAGGCCTGAATTGCACATTCAGGACCTCAGGAGTATAAGGTCAAATGGGGGAAGGGGGATGGGTGGAGCCAGCCACAGTAACCTGGCCTCATCTGAGAGTCTCCAGCTCTCCCAATAGGGCAGACACAGTCATGCATTCCACAAGTATTTATTGATCTTGCTGCACACTAGGCCCTGTGCTGGGTGCTGGTGACACAGCTGTGAATGAATCACAGTCCCTGCCACCCCAGGGATCTCCCCACACACACACATACACACACTGAGGGCTGCTACTCCCTGAGCACAGGACTGGTCGTTACCCTCTTAGCAAAAGCTGAATGGGGCTAAGTAAATGACACTCCTGGCAAAGATACCACCTGGAAAAACTATGATGGGTGAGAATAGAGGGTGGCCACCAAAAAGTGCCTGACCCTCCCCCAAAAGCTGTTGAGCCGCACAAATGTCCAATTTTCCAGGTCCAACACATGTTGCAGTACTGTAGCACCCAAGGGCAAAACTAGGAAAATCCAGAGAAAAGCAAGATTTTCTCATAAGAGCAGCCTGCCTTTTTCAGCAGCTGGCCTGGGGTTGCAGAGCACCTCAGCCTCTTAAAAGACACCAATGGGAACCCTCACCTGGACCCACCCCCCACCAAAGTTGATCCCTCATCACACTGAGCATGACTCTTGGAAGGAAGCAGCTGGGAGAAGGGACAATGATGTGCGTTCGGCAGTGTCAGATGGCAAACAGGTCCCAGGATTCATTCTCAGGCTCCGGCCTTGCCAGAAGCACCTGCCCAGGCCAGATGGGCAGAACCATTTGAACACACTCCAGGAGCCAGCTCAGGGACCAAGGGATTCAGGCTGCCCAAACCCCCAGCTTTGCTCCCTAGGCAAGCCACAGAAGAGTTTAGACAGGAAATTTCTTTTTGTGCGCATAACACAAAGGGAAAGAAGACCAGTGGGGGGCGCAAAAGGAAGAAAAGCGGCTCTTGTTTCTCCCTCAAGCTTCCAAACTACAAGAGTGTCATGGCTGGCTACAGCAGCCTTCCAAGGTTAGGTAGACCAGGTTCTAGTAGGTCACCCCAGCCCACCACACTCAGGGTGAGGTGCAGGTAGAAGACAGGAGTGTGCATGTTGGCAGGAGAGGCAGAGGGTACATGGGGATTCTTAGTAAGTAAAACGGGAGTGTTTTTAGGGTAGGAAAAAGAGGACTTTCAGGTTGCAGTCAGGTGAGGACAGAGTGCACTCCCGCTGGGAGCTCATGCTGAAGCAACACATGAACCCCCAAGAATCCTGAATCTGTGAACGTGGCCCAGACAGAATGGGTGTGCAGGCAACACTCGGAATGCAGAGGGAAAGCACTTCAGCCTCTGATGGCCCAAACCAGGCCTGGGTGGGCACGGAAGGCCAACGTCTTGGCTAAGAACCACGGCTCAAGTGTAGGACAGCAAGTTCAGGTCATAACAGCCATCCACCTGCAACACAAAAGACCGTCAGATCTGACCCACTCAGGGCAACAGGAGCCAAGCAGAGAGAAGCGATCACTCACATCAAAGCGGCCGATCCTTGTGGAGGTATGACTGGCCCGGATCATCTCTGTCAGCGCCCACATCTGCTGCACCTCGGAGGATACCCTGCTGGGGTCTGGGAGACCCTGATCCAGAAGGAGGGGTCAGTGGTCATGGGTCTCTCCTTACCAGTGCCCTTAGAGCTCCAGAGAGGCCAACTTGGGCTATGGGGCCCTCCGACTAAGACCAGTAACATTCTCAGATGACTTGTGAAACATGAGGTTGGGGACTGATGTGCAGTAGGCGGCCAAGCCCACAGAGAGATGCCTCAAATCCCACGGAGCACCCAGGAGGAAGATGGCATAGAGTCCCATATTCTTGCAGAAAGGAGCCCACCTGGACCAGTGCTGGACACAAGAGCTATTCCCACATGGTTCTTGCCCAGCGTGAGGGCTTACCTCAAGAAGGGGAACAGGCTGCTCACAAGGCACTGGGTGGGAAAGCCACTTGGGGAAGGTCATGGAGGGGCTCTGCAAAGCAAAGGCATATTGTCCTGAGAGAGGCAGAGTGGGACAGCCCTGGGACCAGATTCCAAGGTCCTGGGAGCAGAGACCCTGAGCCTCAGACACTGGGAAAACCCTGCTCAGGGGTCCACACACGCCCAAGGGGAAGTCAGACTAAGCTCTTCTGCTATGCAGAAGGAGGCCTCAGGAACACAAGAAGCAGAAGTATCCCCAGCACCTGAAGGCTCCAGCTCTGAAAGAGGCAGGTAACTCCAAAGGTCAGGGGATATAGGGACATGGCCCCACCTCTAATCATGAGCTTCCAGCATTCCTACCCGGTTAACTTCCACGAAGTCCTCCTTTTTTTTTTTCTGAGGAAGATTGGCCCCGAGCTAACATCTGTTGCCAATCTTCATTGTTTTGCTTGAGAAAGAGTAGCCCTGAGCTAACATCTGTGCCAGTCTTCCTCTATTTTGTATGTGGGTCACTTGGCCACCAACGAGTGGTATAGGTCCACACCCGGGAACCGAACCCAGGCCACCAAAGTGGAGCATGCCAAACTTAACAGCTAGGGAATGGGGCCAGCCTCAAGGCCTCCTTCTGAGTCTCATCATCATTATCCACCCGCTCCCACCCCCACCCCCAACCCCACCCTCAGCTGTCCTAGCCGTAGCTAGGAGCCTCCTGGAAAAAGGGCCAGCCAACAGCTCTGAACTAGTCACTTACCTTTGGTCCCTGCTGGTAGATCTGCAGCTCCTCCACTGTGAAAGACAGCCATAGTGGCGATGGCTGTCGCAGAATCAGGCGCAGCTCCAGTACTCTGGCCATGTCACACAGCATCTGACACACACACACAAGGACCCAGCGAGGCCCCAGCTCACTGCCCAGGAGCCTCCTAACCAGCAATGAACCAAGATGCTGCCTCCCCAGGCCCTTGAGAAGGAAAGAACAACAGTCCCTCCAAGGCACTTGCCAAAGAGCCACAGCCCAGGCCAGCCTGACCCTCCCTCTTGCCTCCTGATATCCTGGCCCAATCCCCAGACCCCTGTGAGCCCTCATCTGGGCTGCCCTGGCCATATCGAGTCCCAGCTAACCTGGTGCTTGAACAGCGATACATACTCCTGGGCTCCCTCCTCACTGTGTGGATCAGGCATCAGGCAGTAGTCCCGCAGGCAGGTCACCCACTTGGCTGGTGTGTACATCGAGGTGTGCTGGCGAACACGGATGCTCAGAAAGGCTGTGTAGTAATTCTTAAACACGATCTCCTGCAACTAGAGCACATACAACCCACCACAACAAATCAGAACCAGGCCCAGGGCCTGAGAGGCTCAAAGGCACCATCTCCTCCTCCCCTTAGGAATGTACTCTTCTACCAATCTAACAATTTCAACAAGCATCCATTGGGGCCCAAAGACAATTTCACTTTCCTAGAAGAGCTCACAGTCTAAATGAACAGGTCATGCAAACAAACCACAACTGCAGATCTTGCCACATGTCCAACATGCTGTCAGAGGTCAGAGCCCTAACTCCAAAGTAGGAAGAAAATGTACAAATGAGGCCTGAAGGAGAAAGAGTTCACCAAGTGGACCAGGAAAGGTAAAGAATGTAAAAGTAGCATATACAAAGGAGCACCAAAGGGTGAGAGAATCTGGCACACCCCTGGAACAGCAAGTGATTCAGCCTGGCTACAGCAGTTCTTGTCACTGCACACTCATCAGAATCACCTAAGGAAGTTTTTTAAAAAATGCAGGTATGTAGGCTCCACCTCAGACCTACTGAATCAGAATTTCCAGGGTTGGGCCCTTTAATGAAGTTGCCCAACTTATAGTAAGGAACAGCTTGAGGGAGAACCACACACTACAGGACAAAGTGCATGGGGCCGAGAGGCAGGCAGGGCACAGACACAAGAGTGGCCCTGAATGCCAGGCAATTAGAAAGTGGACTTTGTCCTCTGTGTTGAGGTCCTGCAGTGTCCAGTCACTCTGCCAGCAGATGTGGAAGACAACTGGAGATAGGAAACTGAAGCCGTTGGGAAGAAACTGATGAAGGATGAGTTGAACCTGACCTCCAGCAAGGACTGTAGGAATGGGCAGGAGGCAGGTTTGGCGGTAACTCATTGTCTAATGATCCCCAGCCAGTAGCCAGGGACAAAATGTCCTCTCACCTCTATTTGGTTCACAACTGTATTTCCAGCACCTAGCCTACTATCTTGGCACTTCCGTGCCAGCGCTGTCCTGGACATGAGGGAGAGATGTTGAAGAGGACAGGACAGGAAGCTGCATTCTGGTAAATATGTGTTAACTGAAGGAATAAATAAATCGTTAACTGATTTGCAAGGGCGAGGATACTGCAGAGGCTTTCTGTAAAAGACTAAATGCCTGGGACACGCCCGAGTTCCCAGGTCAGCTCCGCCCAGGAGCCCTGGTCGTGCCCACTGGGCTTGCTCACCTCAAAGGGCCCGACGCTGGGGAACGTAACATCGATGATGAGCACGCCAGGTCGGCCTTGGGAGGTCCGCATGTCGCCCACCTGCAGGGCCACGGTGCTTTTCACATGGCAGGGCACTGACACGCGGGACATGGTGTCAGCGGCAACAACCAAGCACAAACGCCACTACTGGCCTCGGACCACCGGTCCTTCCCGGCGTCCTCAGTGGAGCCCCAAGAACTACAACTCCCGGGCAGACTCGTGCTCAGCCAGCCCAACCAATCACCGATGCTCGGGGCGAGCGGGGAGACGGAAGTGCTGCGGAAGTTCTCCTTCAGCCAATCATCGCGCGAGCCTTCGAGAGCCACCACGGGCCACACCCAGAAACAGCAGAGCCATTCTGTATCTAAACCCTGCTGAAGCCTCCTGGAGTTCCAAGTCTTGCTCCGTTACTGCCTCTGTCCAGGGCGGTCGTCAGTTAAAGCATATAACGCCATGAGCAAAAATGACCATAGTACCTGGCCGACATTAATTGCAAAAATAGATATGAACCTCTTTTTTAATGGGCAAAGGATTTGAACAGATTATTCACAAAAGAAGATAAATAGCCAATAAGCCCATGAAAAGATGCTTAACATGATTATTCATCAGGGAAATAGAAATTAGAACCCACACACTCACTAAACAGGCTAAAATTAAGACTGGCAAGGATGTGGAGTGCCTGGAACCCTCATCCATTGATAGTTTCCTGCCACTTTGAAAAACAGTTTGGCGTTTCTTTAAAAACTAAATTTAGGGGGGGCCGACCCTGTGCCTTAGCGGTTAAATGGGCGCGCTCTGCTACTGGTGGCCTGGGTTCGGATGCGGGGGCGTGCACGACGCACCGCTTCTCCTGCCATGCTGAGGCGGCAGGCCACATAGAGCAACTAGAAGGATGTGCAACTATGACATGCAACTATCTACTGGGGCTTTGGGGAAAAAAAGGAGGCAGATTGGCAATAGATGTTAGCTCAGAGCCGGTCTTCCTCAGCAAAAAGGGGAGGATTGGCAGGGATGTTAGCTCAGGGCTGATCTTCCTCACAAAAATTTTTAAAAAATAAAAAATAACTAAATTTAGGGGCTGGCCCGGTGATGTAGCAGTTAAGTTTGCCCGCTCCACTTCGGCAGCCTGGGGTTTGCAGGTTTGGATCCCGGGTGCAGACATATGCACTGCTCATCAAGCCATGCTGTGGTGGCACCCCATATACAAAATAGAGGAAGATGGGCACAGATGTTAGCTTAGGGCTACTCTTCCTCAGCAAAAAGAGGAAGATTGGCAACGGATGTTACCTCAGGGCTGATCTTCATCACCAAAAAAAAAAAAAAAAGGAAAACACTAAATTTATAGGTACAGTATGATCCAGCCATTGCACTCCTAAGTATTTACCCAAGAGAAATTGAAGCATACCTCCACTCAAGGGCTTTATTCATAATAGCCAAAAACTGGAAATAATCCAAACGTCCAATAGATGAACAGATAAACAGATTAGCTAATTGTTGTATAGCCATACAACGGAATACTACTCAACAATAAAAATAAATGAACAAACCAAGTGTCTATTAACAGATGAATGCGTAAACAAAATGTGGTGTGTGTATATATATACATGATAGGATTATTCAGCCTTAAAAAGGAATGAAATTCTGGGGCCAGCCCGGTGGCACAAGCGGTTAAGTGCATGCGCTCCGCTTCGGCGGCCTTGGGTTCACAGGTTCGTATCCTGGGAGCGCACCAACGCACTGCTTGTCAAGCCATGGTGTGGCGGCGTCCCATATAAAGTAGAGGAAGATGGGCACAGATGTTAGTCCAGGGCCAATCTTCCTCAGCAAAAAAGAGGAGGATTGGCATCAGATGTTAGCTCAGGGCTGATCTCCATCACAAAAAAAAAAAAAAAAAGAATGAAATTCTGATACATACTTCAACGTGGATGAACATCGAAAATATTATGCTAAGTGAAAAAAGTCAGGCATAAAAGAGCAAATATTGTACGCTTCCACTTACATGAAGTACCTGGAATAGGCAAATTCATAGAGACAGAAAGCAGAATAGAGGTTACCAGGGGCTGGGGGTAAGAGGAAATAGAGAGTTATTGTTTAACAGGTACAGAGTTTTTGTTTAGGATGATGAAAAAAATTCTGAAAATAGGTAGTGGTGATGATTACACAACACTATGAATGTACTTAATGCCACTAAATTATAGACTTAAAATGAGTAAAATGGTAAATTTTATGCTATATATATTTTACCACAATTTATTTATTTATTTATTTATTTATTTTTGTGAGGAAGATCAGCCCCGTGCTAACATCTGCCAATCCACCTCTTTTTTTTTGCTGAGGAAGACTGGCCCTGGGCTAACATCCGTGCCCATCTTCCTCCACTTTATATGGGACGCCGTCACAGCATGGCTTGCTGAGCAGTGTGTTGGTGTGCGCCTGGGATCCAAACCCGCGAATCCCGGGCTGCCGCAACGGAGCGCGTGCACTTAACTGCTTGTGCCACCTGGCTGGCCCCTATTTTACCACAATTTAAAAAAAAAAGGAATGAACAACTAGTATACACAACACCACTGCCAGATCTCAAACGCTCCGTTAAGCAAAAGAAGTCAGACCCAAAAGAGTACATACTGTATGATTCCACCTATGTGAAATTCTATAAAAGTCAAAACTAATCTATAATAATATAAATGAGAACAGTTTTCCCTGGGGCCACGGGTGAAAGGAGCAGGCTGACTATGAAGAAATAGTAGGAAATGTTTTGGGGTGATGGAAGGGATCTATAACTTGATTGTGGTGGTAGTTATATTTGTCTAGACATTTGTCAAAATTCATTAAACTGAATATTTAAGATTTGTGTATTTTATTGTATCTAAATTATGCCTCAATAAACATGATTTAAAAAGAAAAAAGCAGGGCCAGCCCCGTGGAATACTGGTTAATTTTGGCGTCCTCCTCTTGGCGGGCACCGACCTATACCACTCTTCAGCCATGCTGAGGTGGCAACCCACATATAAAGTGGAGGAAGGTTGGCATAGATGTTAGCTCAGGGCTAATCTTCCTCAAAAAAATAAATAAAAAAGCAGGGGCTGCCCTGGCGGCTTAGTGGTTAAGTTCGCACACTCCACTTCAGCCGCCTGGGGGTTCACAGGTTGGATCCCAGGCACCGGCCTAGTTACCACTTACCAAGCCATGCTGAGGCAGGCGTCCACATATAAAGTAGAGGAAGGTGGGCATGGATGTTAGCCCAGGGCCAGTCTTCCTCAGCAAAAAGAGGAGGACTGGCAACAGATGTTGGCTCGGGGCTAATCTTCCTCACACACACACACACGCAAAAAGCAAAGCAAAAATTAAATATTAACCATCATAGTTATCATCATCCCCATCCTTCCAGGTACTTACGGAAACAATGCCTCAGAGATTGTCAGTTAAGCCTGTTTTATAGGTAACAAAGAAGTGGTCCAGTGATGGGGCCGGCCCAGTGGCGTAGTGGTTAAGCTCGCCCACTCCGCCTCGGTGGCCTGGGGTTTGAAGGTTCGGATCCCGGAGGCAGAACTACACACCACTCATCAAGCCATGCTGTGGCAGATGTCCCACATATAAAGTAGAGGAAGATGGGCACAGATGTTACCTCAGGGCCAATCTTCCTCAGCAAAAAGAGAAAGAGTGGCAACAGATGTTAGCTCAGGGCTAATCTTCCTCACCAAAAAAAAAAAGAAGTGGTCCAGTGATTTCCCAAGCCAAGAAAGCAATATGGAGTAGAGCCAGAACTACCGGCTCCCACATCCTAGGTCAGAACCCTTAAGGCAATGGTCAGCTTTGGTGACCTGTGCCTTCTCTGTGTTGAGGGGCCCCAGAGACACAGGCCCATTGTAGCCCATAGGGCTCTCATAGTGGGGCATTAAATAGACATAAAAAACGGATTCCAGGCCAGCCCATCGAACAGCCTGGAGGAGTTGGGTGCCTTCCCAGCCCAGGCTTGGAGACCTCCAGTAACAGAAAACATTCTCTGCCTCCTCATTGGCGGTTGTCAAGGGAAAACAATTTGTAACCTTGGGTCTCCTGAACTGGCCATTGCCATCTCCATTTTGACTCAGACTAATGATTCACTGCCTGAGTCCCTCTAGGTTCCTGAGTTTCCCCGTTAGGGAGTCCACTCCATGCTGCAGCAGAGGCTTCCCCAAATCCCAGAGGACTGTAGGTCCCCTGGGAATCATGAGGATCCAGACATGCTCTGGTCTTCAGGCCTCAGCTCTGAGAGCATAGTCACAGCAGACACAGACCTGTGCGGCCCCTCATTGCAGATGAGTCCCATCTCATATCTGTCTGGTGGACAACCATCTTCACTCCAGCCCCTACAAATCATTACCCATACTGCAGCAAGATGACATTTTCAATGTGAAATTCTCTTGGAATCCCTCTGCCTCGGGGTCAAATCCAAAAGCTCTTGATAAGTCCATGGGTCCAGGGCATGAATGGCCCCTGCCCACAGGCTACTCAAAACCTGCCTGCTCCCCAAACCCTGGTACCTTCACTCTAGTTCCCCCAACATGTTGCCATCTCTCTCCTAGTCTGCTCACAGGCTACTCTCTGCCCAGGACACTCTTTAGGTCACTTTTACCCCATCTGTCACCTTTTCACCCTTCAGTTCTTGGTTTAGTTTTTAATTTTTCAGGGAGTCCTTTCTTGTTCTCCTGGACTAAGCTGGATCACTGTACATTGTCAGAGGCTCTCCACATTTTCTTGTAATCATTCCCTAAAGCCTGTCTCCCACACTGGGCAATATAGGGTAGGAGAGCAGGGATTTAGTCTGTCTGTCTGTCTGTATCCCACATCTCCCAGCATCATGCGGGGCATAGCAGGTGCTCAAATACATTCCACACGAAAAAATTATCGTTCAATTTTAGGAACTTACACTTCCAGCCAAAACAGAGTAACTGGGAAAATATTTATCCTCCCTCTTGACTCAACTAAAGAACCAGACAAAATATACGAAACAACCATGGTCAGACATTGTACATCAAGCAGCACAGGACAGTGATCCCTGAGAGAGAAGAAACAAACAGAATGAGCTCAATGATTATCCTAGTTTACTGTCTGCAGAGAGTTTCCAAGTGTAATGAGAGGGAACCCAGATGTTGTGTGTCAGACTCCCTGAGTTGAAGAGACAAAACTGGGAATTTGGAGAGGCAAAGATGGCTAGGGACTAGAGAGAA